CTCAATTTTTTTGTAACCTTAGACCACTGAACTTCTCCATTTTCTGTTCTACTCTACTTTCAATTTTCCTTTCTTCTCCAATTCTTCATCCAAATGGACAGCCAAAAGACAGTGACCAAAACCGGCGCACGAATATGCGTGAATAATGGCTGTACAAACTGAACTGAAATGATACGAGACCACTCATTGATGCAAATCCTCACGGGTCCTGACAGGGACATTTAACCGTATGCGTTCCGTCTCATTTCACTGCACGATTTATGGGTCATATACTTTCGCCCTTTCTAATCCGATTATGGAATTTTCGCGTAAGTGGGCCTGAATGTCTCTTTCTGTAGACGTAATGTAACCCTATAGGCAAAACTGTGCACTAAGCGTTTTCGACCACATGCCGTGGCCAGACGTTGGGTCGAAAGGCACCAGTAAAGTGAACTGAGAAAACCTGTATTATCATTCTTGCGGGACAGCGATAAATGATACCACAACGTACTAGTTCTGATGAGCTATCAGCTGAACTGTCCCAGTTCGAATTTGATTGATCAAATGTGAACTGTGACGCCAAGGCACGATCATCGGGGACACTGCCATACTGTCCGCTATTTCGATCCACATCCCCGATCAAATCGGACGGTCGCGTCTTCTTTCGTCTTCTAACAGATGCACGAGATTTGATTGCACCACGAAGTTGATCGTCACTATTCTTGGGCGGACAAAATGCGTTGGAAAAGTCCAGTCGTTGGGTACGATATTGTGTGTAATCGAATGCGGGCAGAGATGGACCTTTGGACGGACAAATAGAAGTAGTAGGGTAGTATATTCATTCGATGCTTCCCTAGTAAAGTGTTTAGTATGCATTAATTGGGTTTCAAAAACGCAATGAGTTTGTTTCTCTACTAAAGGGGACAACAAATCTGATGCAGGTAGAGCACAGAATAAAAGGTTTACCAAAAAGCAAAGAAAATGATAGTGATTACAACTGCTTTGAGATAAATTAGTGAGAATATTCGGTGAAGTCTGAGGGGGTCGATTATACCAGCGACGCTTTTCAGTACTATTTCACAAGGTATGTACGGTGGCTTCTCCGAAACCTAACACTACCAAACGTCAAACGACAATTTGCTTCCTCGGTAATGGAAACCAAGTGGGCTTTCCTGCACTTAGTAAATTACCTATCTCAGTGACCCTATAGTTGTTGAAAGTTAGAGAGTCATGTATGACACACTTTCCGATGGATCACTTTATGGGGTTGAAACGTTGGTTAACCAGTTTATCACAGAAAAATGTGTTCTCCCATCCCAACCCATGTGTTACCACGAGATCTTTGCCTATTTCCATGATCTTGTAGAAACAAGGTTCTACATGTGGAGGTAAATAATAAATACAATATTTGAATCGAGGGAGTTCGCGAGAGAATTTCAGTGCGGTGCAGAGAAAGTTCGACATCGCGGATACCAAATCGGAGATTATGCTTTTGCAACGCACTTGTTCCATTCCCATACACACTATGATATGTGGCTATTCATCGGCAGCTGCATTTGATAGAATAAAATAATTAAAAATTGTTCAACAGAGTGACGATAATTTTTTTCGAGGCACACGTCATCTGTTAGGTTCGCATTGGGATAAATAAGGCGAGTATATGCAGTTACTGCCACTGGGCTGAGAGTCTACGTGCAGCAGTATGCTTGGCGCTCTTCAATGTATGACTTACGACAGGGTCGTGTCAAGATGTATCCCCTCCGATGCAACGTTCTGCACTTATGAGAGTATCATTTCAAAAGATGCCTACTGCGAAGTATAAACCGTGAGATAAAAAGAACCATCCAGGTAATTTGAACAGGCAAAATCATACGTTGGAAAGCTTGGTGATGACCGATAAACAGCACTGGTCAGCTGTTTTGTCCTGTTTGGGAATTAATAGTCTTTTAATTACTTATTAAACTATGCACACAACGTGACGACTGTCGATCGTGCAGCGCAGGGGTAACGGTTTGAAGTCCCGATCCGAATGTGTGCGGTTCGAAACCTTACAGCGACACAAAAGTATACTGACGAGTCTCAATCAGAACGAAACAGCTGTCCAGTGCTCTCTGTGGTTCATCACATCCTAAGGATCTGCTTTATTTGTGTCTGGTCGTCCTTCGATACGTAATACAAACTCTCTTTATGAGTCAGATTTCGTACTCCAGAGATTCTGTTCACTGCGTCAACGTGTTTGGTGTCAGGTCCCAGTTTACGTTCTGCAGTGCATGTAAAGTCGTCCCATAGACATGAAAATGATCGATGTGCTGAACAGCTCCACTGTATGATGACGATTTTCGTAAAGATCCCCCCCCCGTAGAAATTCTGCGCTCGTAAAATGAGCGATTGATGGACGAAAACTGTACCAAAAAAGCGACGTTGGTATGATTCATTTCGGTTTTTGTCCGGTCAGGGTTGAGTTAGTCTGTCATCGACAGGTGAGAAATGTCGATGCTTTAATTGTGGGCTGAGGAAATAACGTGGCATAGACTAAGAATATTGAAGGACCTTAGAAGTTTCACACATATCGCGCTCTTCAATCTCTCTGTTACCACCTGATTCGCTGAGTGTTAATGAATTACGCAGAACTTCCTCGTTTATCTGTTTCTTCGGTTATGTACTAGTTGAAAACAGCGCTTATTTCACTCAATTCAATGGCAGCTTATTATTTTATTATCAATACTATTCACAGGATAATGCATGTAAAGTCGATGATTTTTAGTAAAATGAAATTGTGTTGTCTTTGGGAATTATTGTGTAAGTTTGATTACATCCCGCTTTACTGATCCACGAAGTGATTGCATTCAATCAACGGGGTAGAGGAGCAGACATTCTGTTGTTCATTCGGATTTGAGATCCGGACACAGGGGAGACAACACTATAAATTAACGCTGATTCACTGGTTTGTTCGCATTTTCGGTTTGAAGGAATATGTCGAACCCTTAAAAAAGTGGCTTGATTATGTGAATTCGGAGAACCGTGAGAAAACATTCGACTTTCAAATAATAGCAGTTTACGTCAAAAACCGAGCAACACAATTTTGAAATCACAGTGCGGATAACAAAGAGTTTGAATGGCTTTCCATGCTCGTAGGACAATATGGTGTAAGCAAGTGCAAAGCAAAACAAGTACAGATAAAAATACAAATAACCAAACAGAAGTTATGAGCACTCCGCAAACGCACTAAAGCAGGCGGATCGATATGAGCAATAAATTAAACGATGCAATCGTCGGACAGACAGATCACGTGTGCGTGTGTCACAAACGCAAACGCAAGAAATGCTCATAGGAAACGATCACTGTTGTTATACATTTACCACTGTAAAATAAGTGAATGACTCTAAGTTTGTACAAAAATGTCTTAAGAATGGATAAAATGGACAGTTGTTTGAATCAAATGAACGTAAGATGATGAATTATGGACGATACCGCTCATCAGAGCGGTAAGGCCATACATTTTGTTGTTTATTTTCCGTAGTTGGCACCTTTTTTAACCCCACCCGGATAATAGAGAGAGCGAAAGGAATGATAGAGTGAGCAACTATCCAAAAGCCCCTGTATGGTCGGCAGTAGGTACCTTGGATTGTGTCTGGTTCCATTTATCTGGCGTCTCACGAAATGCTCCTATCCGACTAAGAGTCTAACGTAGCCTCAACTGAGGACGCCCTTTTTCGTGCCTTCCCGTGTCGGAACTGTTTTTCCAAAAAAGTGAGAAGGCGGAAGATCAAATCTGGAGCTGTAACCGCTCCCTAGACTACTAGCAGTCTACCTGGGGTAGGTAGTTAAGACCTCTAAGTTTAAATCAACCAAGAAGAGGTGCATGAAACGCACACAGTTTGGTGATCGTGGTGCCGGTCATCGTCTTGGCTAAGCTTTCCAGATTTATTGCACTTTTATCTCCGATCAGAGGGCTAATGTTTCAATGAATACTGTCCCCTAATCCGCTGCGGTTTTAACGCAACACTCCGTTGCGTTAGGGATCAAGCTTTGGACAGCCGAAGGCTCCGGTTAATAATTTTCCAAAGGAATTCGCCTGTTGTAGCCTTGGTAATTTAGCAATATTCCACCCAATAGAAAACTGTGAACCATTTTTATTTCTTCTACAGATTACTGTATTCTTATCTGATTGGCAGACAGTCTGCAAAGGCATGTGAAATATACATCACAGCTAATACTGACACGCTATATAATGTGGTATAATGTAAATAGATGATTATGAGGAACATAAGTAAGTCACCAGTGAAAGAATTGATGACGCAACCAGACCGTAACTCTGATTTGTTGGTCGTTAAGTCAGGTCAGTGTGTATTAAGTGGCGATCTCAGTGATCGTTCAACCTGTTACGAATAGCTGAACGTGCAGTGCAAACACTCGTGTGGAACAACTAACTATTAGAACGTTCGGCCCTTAGTTATTGAAATTTGTTGAATTTCCTTATTTCAAAAACACTGGTGGTGATAGTAATTTATCGCAATCCGTTATTGGTTATTTTAAAAGTAATTATATTTGTAAGTGAAATAACTTCAATCATTGCCTGCCGTTTGTCACAGGACGCAAATCAATTTCTTGGAAATGACTATATGTATCGGTCTTGTTCGGCGTGGAAAAGGTAGATCTTGATTAGTCTAATTCGCCCGATATCCACGCAGTCCTCTAGACTTCTAGGCGTTCAATTTAAACTGAAGTAACGTTTGTGCTAAATACTTGATTCTTCCCATATAAGTAAAGATCATCTGGGTGCCTTCCATGAAAATGAGGTCATCTGCTTGCACTTTGTCGTGTTCTTGTAATTGCAGTCAAAGTTTGAAGCGGCTAGATGTTTTTGTGCACGATTCACTTGGATAGAATGTCTCGCTTGTTGCACGAGGCTTTTAACATCATAATCGACTAGAGCCAACAGAATTAATTATCGAATCGGATGCTTACAACATCTTGGACGATTGGAAATCGATAGTTGATTTTCAAGGTAAAGTAAATAACGATATCCTAGACGACAAATCATTTCAGAGTTTTATTTTGCTATACTTCAATCACCACTAGTGATTTCACTCATAGGAAATTATCCAAAGTTAACCGATTGCATGTAGAGTGAATAACTTGTGTCTGACGCAGAGTTCCTAAAGGAAGCATATCAAATCCGTTTGGACTTACCTTGGAACTTTTCAATAAACACATCTCATTGCAGGTGTACTCAATGTACATCAAGGAATAATATTTGATTATACCTCCCAGGCACGAGGGCTTTATAAAATCACTGACAATTTTTCTTAATAATTCAGAACAATAGAGAGTGTCAAAGTGAAGTTAAAGTCTACGAAACCTTTCCAAATTGAATGTACTAAAGGAAGTTTAGTTTTGAACAGAATTATAGATAAATCAGGGCCGATCATGATCTGCGAAATTTGCTGTTAGTGAATGATATGTACTCTAAAAAGTCATACGGGAAATAAGAGAGCATCAAATCGGACATCCAAACGTGGTTTAAACCTCTTTTCATATGTCATTTCAGTCAAAAATGTTATGCAAAATGTGAAATTCTGTTACAAATGCATTCATAAACGTTTTAATCGCTATCGGCTTACTAATTTTTTTTCACCGAACGAGGTGATATCTTTAATGAGGTCATTGATCTTGGACCCTATAAAACCCTCACTGTTTCAATTCAGTGAAGATGGCACATCAATTCTTGATACAATTATATACAATCTAATTATTTCACCTAATGCTGTAATTTAAATTTTGTGATCTTTTTATGGTAACGGCCGGAGCCGAGTCCGAAAGCTTTTTTTCGCCCGAGTTCACTACAGTAAGTGGTGTTCATCAGGGTTACACTCTCTCCGTTTCTATTTATCTTTTCATCGATTTAATTCAGCCGTATCCTCGTTCGAAGACAAGGGCATCGATTTGCTCCCAGGTTGTAGACCGTCTGATGCAGACGAAACTAGGTCACATAGGTCTCGTTAAACTCTCTGTATGAGGACCCCGAGATCATGGTAACCGGTGACTAGAGACACCGAGTGATATGGCTGTGTCGTAAAACAGTGGCGTCGGTGCATATACCCACTATTATGGCAGCCGCAGTCTATGTGAATTCTCTATCTTCTGTTTGAATTTGCTCTCATCATTCCATTTTTCCCTCCGCTCTTCTACCCAAATAGGAAGCCAAAAGGCAGCAAACGGGACATAAAAATTCATGTTCAATGGTTGTAAAAACTGTAAACTGAAACTTGACGCACCATAAAACAGCAAAGACCTTCTGCCCTGTGAGCTAAAACAACTGTATTGTGAATGTAAAATGGTAATAACACAGCGATGTTGGTAGAGAATTATATTCGCCGACTATTCGGTTACCGTGGGTAACCTTTCTCAAGGCAGGTTTTAAAACAACTGTATGCTACTGTCCAAAACAGAATCAAGCCTTTTTTGCAAGACTAAAAGAAAGAAAAAACAAAGTCTGAAAAGTGAAGTAATTGCAACGAGCAAAAAACAAAATAAACGGTTTTTTTATTTAGTAATGCACAACTAGCTTCAAAAACCTATCGGTCTCTGTTGGTCTGTGTTAATTATGCTACCGTTTTTATGCTCACACCTATTCTGTATTTTTTCTTTCGGTCGCTGATTTTACGTTGCCTTTGACAATTAATCAACAACGAAACACTTTCCCCACCGTAATTATGTAAATGTCTATACGTGGTATTCTTCTCGTATCAGTTCAAACGTGCGCAGACAACCGATAGAGAGCATGATAAATGGATTAGCAAAACCAATCCTGCTTATGTTGTTACTCGTTTTATGCAAAATGGATAACTGGGAGAGGCTTTCTGCGAAATAAAGCGATTGGTTCCGGTATTGAATTTGGGATGGATTTTGTACCGCTTTGTAATCAGCCAGCTTATTCAGAGAGTCAGATGGTTTTCAGTTCGACACTTCAATTCGTTAAATTTCTTTACTCTGTTCAGCTTAATATCCCAAAACAAAAACACTGCTTAGGGACAGCAAGCATACCCCCATTCTGCGGCACCTCCCTCGCAACGCAAAATATAATTCTGTCCAGTTAAATAGTCCCACCTAACCACATTTATTCGCATTTCATTGGACGTGAATCAAACAATGAGCTCTAAGCTACTCGTGGGGGATCAGTTATCCCTATTGTGCCTGTATTCATTTCCTGAGTAAACATCAGTTCTTCAGCAATCCAAATTCGGACGAATCCTCAGTATGGATGCTGCTCGTAACGACCGCGCTGCTCTTCCCTCTCGGGTAGATGCATTGGTAAACCGAGGTGGCTGGGACATTAAAGTAAATGCGGTACAGGAGTGCAAATGGTATCTACATGGGACTTCAACTTTCATTGGTCTTTCCTCAACTGAATGACACGAAGAACTTGAAATAACTCAAGTAATAAAACTTGAAGAGAAATCGTGGATTTTTTGAGTTGAGCGGGTTAGTTTCTTTCTCTAGCATTAAACACGGAGTGAAAGCGATCAGCTAAAGAGATCTGAATATCACATAACTTGCATTCAGGAAACCAACTGGTTGTGACATACTAAACTTACGTGTTCCATTCGTCCCGCCACTAGCAGTACTGTCATCCGCATTTGAATGAATTTGTGCGGCCCAACAAAGAACCAATTCGAGCAACGCACCGGTACTTTTGCTCCATACAGGAAAATGGATTTGTGGCAAGGATTTGGAAAACCATTTGGCCTTATCACCAATCAATTCGGGATCAGTTATGCCAGCATAGATACGTTGGAACACTTCGTTCTCCGGATAAAGCGACCATTCACTAAGAAACTCCACAGCCTTTCAACCGGATGAGTGAACAAAGCATAAGTCAAAGAATTACGCTTACCAGTATTGTATGAGATGAAATGGTTAGTTAGGTTACATCGCATGACGCATAGCATTGAAAAATTCGAAGCACTTTGAATGTTTTCCGTTCCGGTAAGCAACCTGCATCCTTTGAGTACATGAAAGTGTGAACCCAAACCTGTAAGCCAATGATTGCCGCACGTTACCAAAAGGTTGCCCTAGCTGGTTACAGCAGTTCAAACTGAGACTGAATGATATAGACTCACCTGTCTTTTGGTAGTGAAAAAGTACTTATTTTCTGAAACTTTACTATGGCAAAAAATAGTTCTTGATGTACTAATCAACATGGATTTCAAGGTACCATGCACTGCAAACTATTTGCGGATATATTCGCTCTGACATGCATTAGTTTGGTGAAATGTTTTTATTAAACTTGAATGTCAGTATTTATTTCTTCTATGATTAAAACCAAAACACACGTTCCAATCTTGACCAGTACTCATATTTGGTGACCTTTATGATACACTTCCATAAGATTAATTACTACTCTCTCCTTGTGCATTTGCATTGATCCACTCACTTGATTTACCGATGTTTCCGTCCTATTTTGTTCTTCACCAACCACAATACCATGTACCGTCTTACGTATTATGATTTCTCGTGAATCTTGGACTGTCCGATTTGAAATTTCACGACAGTTATGCTTTGGTATCAGTCCTAACTTGTCCCATGGAATTGGAACTGGTCTCTGAGCAAACCCAGGACAATCTGTGATAACCGCCTGTTTATTTATTCGTTGTCAAATATTCTTAGATGGTGCGATCACTATTGCTACCTCTTTGCGTTCCTTAGAATAGCCACTTCGTGAACGTTGTTTGCATTGAACCGGAGTGTCTTACCGCTTGAGTTGTGTATTACATCCCATCATTACATGTAAATTCGCGACTTCTTGCCATTTGGAGGGATAATTTTCACGAGTCGATCCAGGATTACAGTAAGGTTCGGTACATGTATTTTGTTCTTACTGACACAGAGGACTGATCAAATGTTTCGCTTCAGTTTAGCCTCGTTTCTATTCTAAAATTGTCCTATCCTTGTCAAACGGGAACGGTAAACCTTTGAGTTTGTGCTTAACCCTAAGCAAGACAGTCTTTGAATAAAATAAATTTGAACATAGGGGGCTCTGAAGAAAAACGATTTTCATCAGCTTAGATTTTTAATCGTTCCCCATACCTGTGAATTCACCGTGTATGGTTTGACAATGAACTTTATAAATGGGCAAAGTCGGACACCAAAATGTTTAGATTTCCTTGTTAGCTTTTTTATTGAACACAAATTTACAGACGACTTTGAAAAAAATGGAAATCGGCCGTGTGATTCATAGAAAAAAAAGTTAGGAAGCGACAGTGACCAAGTGATGAGCACTGCTTCACCACTACCGTCCACTAACAAATACTAATTATATTGTAGTGATTTGAGACCCAGTTGGAACGGAAAACTAAATAGTGGATGTGGAATCAAAATAAGAATTAAAATGACATTCATCATGGAATAGATATTTTTAGACATGAATCTCTTTACCGAACTTTTGTGATTATGCTATTTTGATATGGATTAAAAAATAGAATTGCCATTGACAAGCAGCATAATATTTCGCGCAAATGAAAGTGTTTAATCTTGATAAAAAGTTAACGATGTATACAAGGTTAGTGGGTAAATTTATTGTCACTGGAAAATCCCCAATGTCCAACGACTGCTTCAAGTGACACGCACGATTTGTTTTCGAAGCAAACCAGTTGAGCTCGTTACTTAACTGATTTAGTTCTTTTCAAACCAATAAGTGTGTTGCCTGTACATGTGTTCATGATGTATGAATGACTGTTTTTCTCCGACCTGAAGATAACCAATACTGAGATTGTCAGTTAATTGTTTTCTGATTTCCTATAAAAGCTGGTTGCCATTTTTACTGTTTAGTAATATTTTCGATCATATTACTATAATTCTGAAAATATCGGGGCTTATCACAATGGACTATTTCTATACTACTTTCCCATAAGCTTTTCCTTAATTTTCACGACGACGATATGCATCAGAGGTTTTGTATGTTGAACATCTACTAACTCAAAACTAAAACACGTGCAATTCTCTAAGTGGGAAACAAAGTCCGGTAAGCGGTGGTCCGGTGATAACGTCACCAAATTACCACCTCGGGGTACGTGTTCGAACCCCACCACCACCGCCTGACTTTCCCCATGGTAGCCCTTTGATTGGCCACTTTCCTCTTCCTGAAAATTGTATCATTGTGTATTCAATAAAAAGGAAGTAAAATTGAAAAAAAATCTGTGATTTTTTCTCGATTAACTAGCCATTACCGCATATTGTCCTCTACGCTAGTTTTCTGTATACCCCACCCTGGATAGTTCCGTCTGGGTTTCGTATTATTACGACATCCAGGAATGAGATTCTGTCATTGTTCTCTTTCTCGATAGTGAATCTGATTGAGTTGTGGCCTACGTTGAATGTCTCCAGCCAAGACTCAAAGTTGATTGTGCGGTTTGCTATGAAAATATCAGCCACTTATCGACAGTACACGCGGAAATTGTGGATGTTGCCTTGTAGAATTGTATTATCAAGTTTTCCCATGAATGTGTCTGCCAACAGTGGTCGCGGCGGAGCTCCGACCATCTGTTGGTAGCTTCGAGCATTGATCAGGAACTGAACGCCAAAGGTGCATCGAGATAGAAGCTCTTTCAGACTGGGAAATGGTATTCTAATTTCAAGCAGTTATCTGCTATGAATATGCATAGAAACTCGACAGTCTCTAGGGGAGGGACGCTCGTGGCTAGGAAGTTACTTCTAGAAAGTGCACTGTTTGTGATCATATTTTTGTGTTTTTGATCCGTTTGACGAAATCGACTGTGGCCTTCAGATTGTAAGCAAAGATTTGTTGTCTGAAAGAGTCTAGCAGTTGCACCAACCATTTGACTGTTTTATGGCTTGGGGAGTTTGACATATCTAGAATTGGCCTCATTGATAAATGCAGTTTGTTTACTTTGATTTGATTACTATTATTATTTTAAAATTTATGATTCTATGCGGGTATTCTGATTGCTTTTATTGTTCCTCATATTTTCTACAAACTAAAACAAAACCATTTGACTTTCCACTTCAGGCTGCAACAATACGTTCCTAATTCGTTGATGTTCCCAAGTGTTTTCATGCCCAGGATAAGTTTGTCTGTACAACAATTTGTACTATCGATGCTTTTCCGCATTAAGCATTAACTCAAGTGTCGTCGAATACCAGTAAACCTAAAGCCTCTGTTTGTGTATAACACCATTTTCGGGAATTTTATTCCCTTATTTTATCTAACCGAGCCTCAGCTGGAGCCAAAATCAAATTTTGAAAAATTGCTTCGTTTCTGTCGCAGTTTTTATGGGTACTTTGATCTTTTTCCTGCTAAAACACTTCACTACGCCAATTTGTCGACTGCTGAAGGTTTGTTACTTGCGTGTATAAAGCCAATCGCGAATAGACTCGTCACGTGAAAATGAGAGTAGGAGGACTACCATAGAACGCCTCATCTTTCAAGGAGGCAGATAAATTTCTCTCTGGGTTTCTATCGCAAAGGAAGTTAAGTGTATAAACCACCCATCCAACGTGTCCCGCTGCAAGCGGTTATTCATGTCTTAGTGGCATTTGCATACAAAACGAGAAGGATAATTGATTGAAAGTAAGCCAAAATGGAAAATCACAGATTTCACGATTTTTCCATTTTGCAACTGCAGTGAGGTTGATAGGACCATAAAAGAAAGAAAAAAGAGGGTGAAGAAAATGTTGCGATGTCATTCAGCTTCCCTTTACCGGGAGTGAAGCTAACATCATTGAAGTACTGTTAAGTTTAACCACAAAGAACGGCACCACAGCAGTTTTTCATTCGCGACCTGGCGAAAAGGCAGAGGTAATTCGAAACAAAACCGCCTAAAAATCGTATTTTCACCAACCCAATTCGTGTTCCGGAAGTAGGTTCCGGACAAAAGGTGGACTGACGTTTCGCCCTAGCTATTCACCAGCTAGCCAGCTCAATTACAGCTTGGTTTTCATAAGTGTTCACGCTCTTTTGTCAAGGAAATCTAATAGATTCCCATATAAAAATGACATTTGGAATAGCAAGTCTAATCAATATGTAAATCTCGGTCGGATTAATCTATGGCAGAAACGGGGTGGAAAAACAAAAACGTGCTTAGAACAGACAAATGCAACGCCCTCTCACACCCGAACTTGATTGCGAAGTCGGGAATTCGGAAGTACACCGCTTTCTGATACGTCCAACTGCAAAATAGTACCGACCTGAAGGAAGCTGGTCATAAAATTACTAACAGAAATGGTCCGCAGTAACTGCCACTATTGAAACTGAATGGAGAGCTGCATACCAATTCACTCTCTCATATTTCATCGCATGTAAATAGAATGGTTATTGCTATCTAAACTGGTCATTCTTCATAGTTCATCTGCTGCACCCTGTCTAGATTTTTCCGGAGTGAAAATTACAACAGCGTCGACGGAGGGAATGGACGAATCAGAATGTCATATGCCGTTCGTTAACCTTAAATCCATGAATCCAGTAACATCGAGGAAACACTGATAATTTCCCACGGTGGCAATTGATCCCAATCCGTTTCAAACTGATAGTGCTGAAAATTCATCTTATTGGGTGCATAAAGCTTTACTTGACTTGGCATGACTTATACCGTTGAAATACTCAGGAGAAAGCCAGGTTTCCCCTGACAGTGTGTGTGGATCATTCGTGCTGTTAGAATGCTGTTTTCAGTATAATTTTGTTAATATAATGCATAATTCGGTTAAACTTCCTATGTCAGGTTTTCATTTGTTTGTCATTTGTAGTATCAAAACTCGTAATGATCGTACATATAGGACTGATGATAAGAGTAGGCTTCCTCGAAGTCCAACTTTCGATGTTGCGTAGCCTA